CTGATGCAGATGCTGATGCTATCGCTGCTGTCACTGCTGCTTGTGCTACTGCTACTGCTGTTGCAAAGGCTGCTTCCACTGATGCAGATGCTATTGCTGCTTGTGCTACTGCTACTGCTGTTGCAAATGCTGCTTCCACTGCGCATGCTCATGCTGATGCTACTGCTGCTTGTGCTACTGCTACTGCTGTTGCAAAGGCTGCTTCCACTGATGCAGATGCTATTGCTATCGCTGCTGTCACTGCTGCTTGTGCTACTGCTACTGCTGTTGCAAAGGCTGCTTCCACTGATGCAGATGCTGATGCTAGCGCTGCTGTCAGTGCTGCATGTGCTACTGCTACTGCTGTTGTAGCTCGTCCTCATAGCCACTGCGACCTCTTTCCTCGAGCAGTTTTTTTTGTTGGCAGTGGCGTTTGTGCTGAGATGCCTTTTGCCCTTCTGCCCTTGCAGCCTGCAAGAGCGCCTGGCGGCTGTTAAGGGGCCCCCCCCTACGGCTAATCAGGAGGGGGGGCCCCCCACCGCTCGCTTGATAACAACGCCACCTCCTCAATCCTATCTGCTCTGCAAATACTTCCTCTCCCCCGTCCAGCAGCCTCCAGTCTCAGGTCGGAAGCCGAAGCGCATGCCTGTCTGCAAGTGCATGCTGCACTTGCTCGCAAAGCACACCCTCGCATGCGCTTTTTTCTTGAGCAGAGGAAGTGCCGGCACCTGCAGGCAACCCTTCTTCCCTGCATGCTGCCTTTTCTGCCTTGCATGCTCCGCTCGCAGGCGTCTACCAAGTGAAGGAAATCAGTCCAGGTGTGCTGCGGCTGCTGCTGCAGTTGCGAGTCACCGCCGCAGCAGCGGAGTGTCTGGACAGCCTGAAAGTGGCACTTCCCTTCAATCACAGGGGAACGATTATATCCGACGATTTAAAAGCGTCACAGGTCGGCAATTACATGAAGGACGGCTTGAGAAATGCATCTTGTCTCTCTTTCACTCTCCGAAGGAAGGCAGGCATGAGGTGGCACACTCGCTGCCTTGCTGCCTTCCCCCACAGGGTGTCTATACACCTGGGGCTGGGAATCATGATGCTGCTGCTGCTGCTGCTGCTGCTGCTGCAGGGTACCTTTTGCTTTGTGCATTCGGGGGCGGCAGTTCTCTGGACGATTCCTATGCCCGTAGAGGGGGCCTGTGATGCCATACTCGGTGTGTTGTTGTCACATTTGCCGCTTCTTCTAGTGTTGCTGCTGATGCCTTCTGCGCTAAGACATGCATGTTTGGAGCTTCCTTTGATCGGTGATGCCTGCGGTGTCTTCAAAATGCCGTCTTCTCTGCATCGTTAGCTGCTCCTTCTGCTTTTTGTTGCTGATTCTGCTGCTCTCTTCCGCTGATTCTGCTGTTGCTACTGCTGGTTCAGCTTTCTGCTACTGCTGGTTCAGCTTTCTGCTGCTTCTTCTGCTACTACTGTTGCTTCTTCTGCTCTCTGCTGCTGGTTCAGCTTTCTGCTACTGCTGGTTCAGCTTTCTGCTACTGCTGGTTCAGCTTTCTGCTACTGCTGGTTCAGCTTTCTGCTACTGCTGGTTCAGCTTTCTGCTACTGCTTTCTGCTGCTGCTGCTTCTGCTTCCTGCTTCTGCTTTCTGCTGCTGCTTCTTCTGCTGCTTCTTCTGCTGCCAATTCTGCTGCTAATTCTGCTGCTGCTGCAATAGGCCATACAGACGCCCATTCGCTGTCTCTGTTGGGGGAACTGACGCTGTCTGCGCCGGAGGGAATGACGCCACCTCAACTGTCTGTACACTCGCAGCAGCTACACTGCAGTGGGTTAGGCGACCTTGCTGCAGCGGAGGAGAAGCGGCTGCTCCAACAAGCAACAGCAGCAGCTGCATCTGGCCTTCCCCTGATATTCCAGCGCTATGTGCTGCAGCAAACACGACTGCGGCTTCACCAGCAGCAACAGCAACGGCAGCAACAACAAGGAGCAGCAGCGAGAAATGCAACCGCATCGCGGCAGCCTTTAGTCGCTGGTCTGGCTCTAAAGCAATTATCCCTAAATTTTCCTTTCCGCCGGCTAAATGGCTAGACGCTCGATTGCGCATGCGTCTACTGCGTATATTTTGAGCTCTCATGTGGCTTGGGTTTTTGGCGTGTTGGTGCTTTCAGGAAAAAGCGCGTTCAGCAGCAGCAGCTCTAGCAGCAGCAGCGGCTCGAGCTTTCTGACAGCAAGAGAAAACACAATTCTCGATCTAGGACCAACAAACTTTGTCGCTGTGGTTTTTATGGAGGGAAGAGGCTTCAGTGTGGCGGGAGCTGACATAAATCCTATGGCTGTGGATGTTTTTTCGGGAGCGTTTCCCGCAAGTGCCGATGGCGAGCCGACAGCAGAGTCTGCTGCTGCTGCCACTGCTGCTTTTGCGACACGCATGGGCGCTCTCACTGTCAAGATTGAGAGGAATTTTGCCTCCGGCAGGTAGGCAGACTCCTGTTGCTGCCGTCTTCACTGAGGGCGCTGACGTTTTAGCTGCTTCTTCCGACTGCGCGAAAAGCAGCTCTCCGTGTCGCCTCCCCTGCTACTGCTGCTGTTGTTGCGTGCGGATGCATGCAGGTGTCTTTTGTGGAATACTTTGGGAGACTACCGTCCTGCCCGCGCAACGTTGCGATGGGAAAACACCGAGGCAGACACTTCCTAGCTTCTAAGCCGATCAAGAGTAGCCGCAGGAGCAACAGCCCAAGAGAGCGGCAGTTGTTTCTTTTGAGGATTCTTCCAGTCTATAAAGGGCGACTTGCTCCTTCCCCCCCTTCCCCCTTCTCGTATCTGAACAGGGGTGAGGAGGGAGGGTTGGAAGGCTGGCAACGGGGTGCGTGGTGTTGTGCAATGACTGCTGGGTGCAGGCTTTTGGGCTGCTTCTTGCGTGCATGCTGCTAGGCGCTCTTCTCTTGCGGAGACGCGCATGCTTTGTGACTCGCACATAAAGAAGCCCAAAGTGGCATTTTGGGGTAAAAGGGCGGAGGCGAAGGAGCCATGTGTGTGTCAGGGGGTGTATATCCAGCACCAGTAGTGGTCAGGGGGGTTACTGCCTCAATCGTAAGTCTCGCGTGGTTCACGCACGCGACTGGAGGGTTTGGCTGTTAACGCCTCGTGCCAGAGTGGCGTTTTTGATGAGCGCGGTTACTTTTTAAGGGCAAGATACCATCTAAAGCATACACTACGCATATGCACATGTAATATAGACACATGATTCTAGCCAGTTCGGCATGCTGACTCGAGAGCGTTCCCTCCCCTCGAGCCACCAACCCGCTTAGACAATTCTAACACTAAGAACTGAATACTCCGCTATAGCGGGGGACGCTTTTGCTCGGAAACAACCTCGACAGAATCCTCAAGTTGCAAGGTTCTTGACAGTCCAGCCCCCACACGAAGAAGCTCCCCGCGCCAGTTTCGACGAGGACAGAAGACACTACCACCAGCCTGAAAAGCCTTCTTAAGGCGGCGAATTCGCAGAAGTCAAACAAGAGAGTCGCGCAACTCTCTCGAGGAACAAAGCTCGTTCACCCCGTGCAAGAAACTGGACGGAGAGAGACAGTGGCTGCTGCTGCAAAGGCTTCCAGTGATGTGCAGCAGCAGCAGCCAAGGCTGCAGCAGAGCCGCTGACTGTGGCAGCAGCTCGGACGGCAGGAAGCCTGCGCTTCTGCCGCATTTCCGAGCATTTCATCCTTCCTTCAGCGTGAAACCAAAGGAGGCAGCGACAGGCTGCCTCTTTTTCAGCGAAAACCGCGAGTTTCCGATGCTTTTCGCCCCTTGCCTTCGCCCCTGCTGTACAGCACAGTACGACGCCAGGCACGTGGGAAGGCCTACCCCTTCTCTGCAACGGAGGAGACAGCCTCACACGGCTTCTTTTTAGCGCCTTTTTTGATTTCCTCCTTCTTCCTTCCTCAAGTTTGCCTCCCTTCGCTTCCTTGGTGCCTCTCTAAGCTGAATTCGGAGGGCACCTCGCGACGCGCTCACCGTATCGCCTCGATATGCTTGTAGGGGGCCCCTCAGAAAACACCCTCCTTCTCTCCCTTCGTGTTTCCCCCTTCACACTCTCCTTTCCTTATTTCTGACGCCTTTTATCGCTCCACGGCGGCTGCTGCTGCCCCTCTCGACCGCTGCTGCGCCTCCTCCGTCCTCTCCCCGAGTCTGATGAGGCAGAACCTCCTGCTCCTCACCAGCTGCCCTTCAGCCGCGCGCGAGTGCCTGTAGCAAGCTGCCACCATCGACGCTCTCAGCAGCAGCTCTCACAGCCGCAGTCTTCCAGAAACAGCCTTCACACAAGCAGCATCTCCCCCGCGAGCCGCTCTCTGCCCCGCTCCCCCCGATCGTCGCACCGTCTCCCTCCCTGAGCGTTGCATCAGTCTCTTCCTTCGGCTCCTTCTCCCTTCTGCCGTCTGCTCTTTCGCCCTTCGTCCCCTAGAGCGGATGCCGACTGCAGTGCTAGCCGCGCATTTTATCCGCATGCAGTGCAGAGCCGATCTTGAGCTTTCTCAGAAGGCCGACAAACGGCATTTCATAGGGAGCCTTCTGCGCGTGTCGCAGGGGTGCGAGCAGTAGCGTTTTTGGTACAGCCACGTATTCTTCGTTCCCCTTTTTTCGGTGTCTTCCTGGGGAGGGAGGGAAGGGGGCAGGGGTGTGTCTGTGCTGCGTGAATTCGCGCTCGTCGAAAAAATGTTGGGCGCTTCGCATGGGCCCCAAGCAACTCGCCAAGTTGTTCGTCTTTGCGACAGCTCTCAGCGGTGGATTTGGAATCCTTACGCTGGAGGCTTGGGGTGCAGCAGCATGTTGGGGACGGAGCCTTGCGAGAAGCTGTCTCCCAGCGCGCCAGTCGGGAGCAGCCTGCAGGAAGTGGAAAAGCTGCGCGAAATGTACAAGGACGAGGTTAGCATGCTGACGCTAGAGCACGAGCTGCTCCTGTACGACCTCAAGCGCTTCCACGACATGACTGCCCTCTACAGAGACGCCGAGAGCGGCTCCTTCCTGCTGACTCCTCCCGAGGCGATCCTGGAAGCGAAGAAGGGCATCGACTTGAGGATAGAGCACTTCAAGGACGAGTGTGGCCGCTGCGAGAGGCTGCAGCGCCGCATGCAGCGACAGATGGACAAGGGGCCCCCCGTGGCAGCGAAGGAGGGGTCCTCGGGGCCCCCCCCCCCCTCGTCGAATTCCCCAGAAGCGGTGGCTGCCAACTGCATCCTGCTCAAGCGCGTGCGCGATCAGAGGCGTCTGATCGCTCTGCTGCAGCGCGATCTGGAGGAGCGGCTGTACGAACAGTCCCTCATGGAAGTTCACCTCAAAAAGCTGCGACAAGCTGCCGAGCATCTCGACGTCAGCCTGCCCGCTGACGCCGCTGGGAAGGGAAGCCGCGAAAGCCGTAGGCTCCCTGGGGAGGCTCCCAGCCTCCACCAGCGAGAAAAGCAGATCCCCGAGTTCAAGACGGCTTGGCTCCACCGCATCCGCTTCGCCACAGCGCCTCTCCCGAGAGTGCCCTCCAGGCAGCCTCCCGTGCCTCCTGCCAGCTGCAGACCCCCCAAAGCAGTCCTCTCCCAGGCAGCGGGGAGAGGACTGCTAGCTGGAGAGGGCGCAGAGAAGCACTCCTCTCGGAGCTTCGGCAGCCGCGAGCACCGACGCCACTCGGCAGCCGAAGCAGCGGCTGCGTTGGGGGGCCCCTCGGAGGCCCCCCCGCGGGGGGGCGGGGGGGCCCCCTCCGTGGAGGAGGGGGGCGTGTTGCTGCCTCGAGTGCTGCGATCCTTCTGGGAAGCGCACGGAGCGCGTCCTTCGGCAGGAGGCGCAGGCGGGAGCGGCTCAACAACTCTAGAGCGGCTTCTGTCTGGCGGCGTGAATCTCGTGGTCACTTCAAGCAAGGAGGGGGAAAAGGGGCAAGGCGGGGAGGAGGGCCCCTCCGAAGCAGCGAAGAGGGGCCCCCGGTCCGCCCTCCCTGCGAGCCCGCAGCTCAGTCGAGGCGACAGTACTGGGGGGTTCTCCTTTTCTAGGGGCCCCTCGCGCACGTGCTCGTCGCCACGCGTGAGTGTGAGTGCGCCCAAACACAAAGACTCAAGAACGCTGACTTCCCCCAGAAAAGCCTCCGAGGAACTGCGCGGTGGCAGCCTCGCGACCACAGCACATCACGCCCTCTCGTCTTCCCACGCACTCCGCGAAGACAGCGCCGCCTCCGGAGCGGCGGAAACGAAGGCGCCTCTGCGACAGACGTCCTACAAGACGCTCGCCTCGCCGCGTGTCTCCGCCGCAGCAGGCGGAGTGGTGCGCGCAGACTCGCGAACCCTCATGTCTCCCAGAGAGGCGAGGGCCCTTGACTCGCCGAGGTCGCGTTCGCTTGTGTCTCCCCGGCGGTTTGAAGGGGCCCCCGGGGGCCCCCCTCCCGGGGGGGGGCCCGGGGGCCCTCGAGGGACGCCCACGGGGGGCAAGGCTGTGCTCACGCGCGAGGAAAGCGCCGCCTTCCTCTCGTGATAACTTGCTGCTGGCTGTTTCTTTGTGCTATAAACCTCTTGCGACGCGTGTGTAGATGTGTTTTGGTGGCTGGATGAGCAGCGCCTAAACCGTAGCTTGAGGCTTTCCAGCACAAGTTGGCGTAAGGCCCCCTCTCCGCTTCCCCCTTCCGCACGTACCGTCCCTGCTAAGTAGCTAGAGCAATAGAGACACTACAGCAGCCCTCCTCCTACTGCTGGCTCCCTGCGAACGTGGCGATAGCTTCTCTCTTGGAAGGCGACTCGAGAGGGGAGGCCCTCAGGAGACTGCATTGCAAGATACCTGCCTAAAGAAGCGGCAAAAAACGAACGGCCGAAGCGCTGAGGCTTCCGAGAAGGGCAGCACGGGCAGAGAGGCGGCACCAAGTGCTCCTCGCTGCCACAGAGGCGAGAGCTCTCTTCTGTGCGCAGTAAAAGGCCGCAACCTGCTAGCTGGCAGTATCAGAGCGAGTCTTATTCGCCTTCACGGTTTAATGGGCAACTGTCGCCGCTTTAGGAGGAACTGCTGCAGTCACCCCTCTCTGCTGGCGAAGAAGTGTTCTCAGCGCCCCCAGGAGTCGCACTCCCGCTGTAGCAGCCATCCGCAGCAGCATCAGCAACATTAGCAGCATCAGCAACATTAGCAGCATTAGCACTAGCAGTAGTAGCATTCGCAGCAGCGGCCGCTGCCGCAGCCAGTTTCTTTTGCCTTTTTCTGAAGGATCTCTTGCGACTGAAGGCAGCAGCTACAGATGCGTGTTTGGCCGTCAGCCGTTCCCCCTGCTCCTGCTGCTCCTGCTGCTGCTCCTGCTGCTGCTGCTGCTGCTGCAATTGCAGTTGCTGCGCAGCCGCAGCGCCTCCCCGAATTGCATCGACGAGCATTTTCTGGTGGGGAAGGAAGAAGGAAATGGCTTTGCCGAGCCCACCTGCCCGTGCAACGCGCCCTACTCGGTGCAAGTGGCTTACTGCGGAGAGGGCAAAGTCGAACTGCACGCAAGCTCCCAGTCCCTCCAAGTGCAAACCACGAGCTGCTGCATCCGTGCAAACCAGCACTGAGGGGGTGTCAAGGGAGAAAGGCCTTTGCGCAACTGCGAAGGAGGAAGAAGAAAGCGGCTCTACAGCTCCTGCGCTGTGCTGTGCATGCTCCGTAGCAGCAGCAGCAGACGTAGCAGCAGCAGCAGCGTCGTGCTGTTGCTGCTTCCCAGTGGGAGAGAGTGTCTTTTCCGAGTCTGGAGGAGACACCGTCGCAACCCCTGGAAGCGACGACGGCATGCTGGAAAAGGCCTTAATCACCTTCGCGCGAGCGAGCGGAGGCAGCTGCGCCGAGAAGAGCTGCACTAGCGGCTTTTTTGGCGCCTCTCTGTCGCTCTGCAGTCTTTCTTGGAGGCTCTCAGCCACGCGTCTGGCAGTGGCTGCCGTGTTGCAGAAGACGAGAGTCTTTAGGCCCCTGAGGGGGCCCCTGAGGGCCCCTAGTACCCTGTCGATCCGATCGGCCTCTGTTTCCTCCGAAGACACCGCAACAAACTCCTGCTGCAGTCCGCTGCAGTGGCAGTGCAGCAAGGGCGATTCTACGAAGCGCATCGACGGAAAGAGCTTCTGCAGCGACCCCTTGACGCCTCCGTAGGCCCTTCCTTCTCGACTGGGAGTTGTGTTGCATGCAGGAGCAGCAGCCGCATGCAGAGACTTGGGCACCTCTGAATGCGCGCTCTGCGCCGCACGCAGGCTCCCTTCTCCTTCGCTCCCTCTGCCTCCCACAGAGGGCAGCGTTGCAGCCACCAGCACGTACTGCGTGGGGGGCTTCCCTTGCCTTCGGCTTTCTCGATCGGCTGCTCGAAAGCGCTCGAGCAGCGCCGTGGTGTGCTTCTTGAAGCCCCCCTCCAGGAGCATGTCAGCCTCGTCGAGAACCAGCGTCTCTGTGGCTGCGAAAAGGCCCTTCTCCCTGCTAGCCGCTGCTGCGAAGGCTTGCGGAGTAGACACCAGCAGGAGGGGGCAGCTCCGCTTCTTCGGAGAGCCTTCTTCCGAAGAAGAAAGCCTTCCCGACGAGGCTCGGCGGGAGGAGCCAAAGGGCCAGCTCGCGGAGGAGGATCCTAGCAGCAATCCAGCGGCAGAAGGAGTCAGCGCTCCAGAAGACACGAAGTGCAGCAGTCGCCTCAGCCAGGCTAAGACTTGCATCGCCAGCTCTCGACTCGGCGTGAGCACGACAGCAACGGGGTAGCTGGAGGCGGCAGCGACAGGGGGGGCCCCCCCCGTCGCGCCGTCTGCTGCAGCTGCGAGGGCCCCCGCCTTCGCAGCCCTTGCTGCTGCCCCTCGCTGCTGCTGCTGCTGCTGCTGCTGCATCTGCGTCTGCTGCTGCAACACGACGAGTCGCTGCACGAGTGCCACAACGTAGGCGACGGTCTTGCCGCTCCCCGTTTCTCCCGCTATGCAGACACTGAGCCCTTGCAGCAGCAGCGGCAGTGCTGCTGCCTGGATGTGGCTAGCTGCCGAGATATTCCAGCGCTTCAGACTGTCTCTGAGAGAAGGGAGCACACCCAAAGGAATAAATCCGGCGGATGCAAACGCCTCCTGCTGCTGCTGCTCAGGTCTTGCTGGTGCGGAGGCGTCGATCTCCGCAGCAGCCTGGCGAGGAACGAAGGCGTCGCGAGAGGCTGCTCTCACGCGATTTTTCACGCCTCCTATTGAGCGCCCCCGCTGCGCCATGCGCACATCGGGAACACGCAAAAAGGCAGACGAGGGGCCCCCACGGAGAACCGTGGGGAGAGGATTTCTGCAAGAAAGAAAGTCTCGGGTAAGAGGGCGTGGAGGGCCCCCTTCCCCCATTGTTTCGCTCCTTCTGCAAGGCGAGAAACACTTTCCTGGGGAAAGCTGCACCAACAGAAAGATACAGAGAGTCAACACACGCAGCTGCAAGAGCACTGCTAGAGAGGAGACCTCTGATAGGCCTCCTGCTCCTGCTCCTCCTGGTGGACGCTTCATCATGAGACTGTTCATGCGCGACTCTACTACGCCTACTCCTGCTGCGAGAGAGAGAAAGAGAGAGGGAAACGCCTTTCCTCCGCCCCTCCCCTCTCCCCCCTTGGACGCGCAAGAGGAGGGCAGCTCCGACGGGCTTAAGCGGTTCGGGGTGTAGCGACACACACAACCATTCTTGAAAAAGCAAAAAACGACCCTACTGGAGTCAACTGCATGCCAGCAAGCAGCCGCGGTCGCTCGCGCACGTGCTAGGGTCCAAGGGGGCCCCTGCAAACGGCAAACTTTTCTACCCGGAAGCCTTGAATCGTACCATCTGCTGATCCGTTACATCGCGCTAATCCGTCTTGAAACATGGTATTAAGCCAAAAGGACTCTCTGCAAGCACGCATGGCCGGAAGATGAGCATCTCTGCACGAAGGGGGGCCCCCATGCAACACAGCAACCCGCCCGCCGTGGAGGGGCCCCTCGGTGCGTACCGCCCCCTTTGTCCTCGATAACCGTTGCTCAGGTGTACAGACACCCACATCACCGTGCGAAAAAAAACTATCCACAATTCTTCGCTCAAGCAAAGGAGTGAGTCTCTAATTTGTGTGCGACGTAATAAGATCTCAAATCGTGGATTGGCAATTTCTTCGCCAGGAATTCCTTCAGGCTCCTTCCGCATGTTTGGGGTGTACTGGGAGGCTAAGGTGCCCGCAACTACTTTCTGCTGCAATGATGTATACGTAACTAGGGGAAGGATAAGTCCAGGGACTGTTGTTGGTTCTGCCAGCTCGCTTATGTCTAATATGAGCCTGTTGGCTCGCCTGAAAGAGACGGAATGATGGCTCTCTGTGCATACATATGTGCCAGCATGCGCAGAGATGTCATGTGCCCCTCGCTGGGGGTGTTCTGGGGGGAACGGCTGTTCATAGAATGCAGCCACGCCGAGACTCTCATTCTGCCTCTCCCCTCCCTCACGCATGCACGGCAGGCCTCTGTGTAGAGGCGCGAGTTGGAGAAGGCAGAACGTAGCTTTTTCTAAAGAGCGCCCATTACAAAAAGTTGATAGAAAGCGATTGCATGCTTTTTGACAAGACCTCTTTGCCCCCCCTTATTGCGCCTCCTCTTGATAGATTTCAACACGCGGGGGGAGAGGAACGCGTGTGTGTGAGGATGGCGGCGTAGCTGCATGGTCGGTGTAAGAACTGCGTTTTGCGGGAAAATGTTTGAAGGGGCCTTATATACACTACTAGAGCCCCTTGAAGGCAACCTAAAAAGAAGACTTCCTGCTGCATTCTTGCGAGTGTGAGTAAGGCCTGTTTCTTTTTCCGTGAAGGAACGGCCTGAGGGTGACTGGCGTTTATCGAGCTCCCTTCAACACACGCCGCCTTCTCTCTGCCGCAGAGAGGGAGGCGCTTGCTTAGTAGTTTGCAAGTCGACGAGTCGCGCGCGGAGATACATTTCGCGGCTGCGCCTGTCGGTTAAGGCGCACCACTCCTCGAGGCTAACAGTCATCACCTGCCATCTGCACGCACAACCCCCCCCAAACGGCCACATACACACACACAGATACTCGCAGGCACACACACACACGCAGCGACAGGAGCACTCTAGGGGGCTGGAAGCGTGCTGCATGCGGGAGACGGGAGCCGCCTAAAGAGTGTAAAAAGAACAGCCCACCCCTTCGCTTGCAGGATGCGCTGTCTTAGCTCCCGCCAAGGCATCAGAAGGCCAGTAGACTCCCCCGACTCGCCGCGAAAAAAGTCTGTGAATCCGCATACCTGTAGCGCCACCCACAAGCAAGTTTGCGCTTCGCAGCGTTCAAGCAAGACACTCAGAAGAGCCGAACTGCAGGCAGGGAGTCGCGTTTGGCAGTTCTGTTACCTCCACGGCAGTCTTCGGGAAGCTCTCTATAGCAAGAGGCACTGAATATGGCCCTTCGGAGAGCTTTTCGCGGAGCTGCAGCAGCGTTCCTTGGGGGAAAACGCTCATGGACTGCAGTATGGCTGAGACTTCTGCAAGGGCAGCTGTTTGCTTGCAAGACTTGACGGCAGCCAAGGGTAGCGGCAAGGCAGCGACGCCTCCTTGTCGCAGCAGCGTCAGAACCTCTTGCGCTGGAGGCGTCAAAGCCCCAGCCTCAATGCAGAGC